CTCTCTTCGGCACCCCACCGCGTGTTCTCTCCCGTGCACATCTCCTCAAAAGGCCTTGACACTGGGGTGAGGTGGGGAATGGAAAGGACAAGGGTGACAGCTCCTTGGCTCCCCACCAGCAGCAAATTCACTCTGAATGGCCTATTGTATAAGCTGAACTGTTGTTAATTACTCATTTAATGGGTGGGGGAAATGGCTCTTATTTTTCTGAAGACATAATATCTTTCTCCAGGTAGTCTCAGTGCTTCTGGTACACAGTAAAGTGAACTCTCTTTGGCTTATACCCTCCAAAGCAGCTCCTAAATCTCAGGATTTCACTGGTTTGCTGCTAAGGACAGTTCTGCAGAAAATGTCAGAGTGTGTGTCAGGCAGAGCCTTCAGTGCAGGAACGGTGACATGCTGCAGTCCTTGGCTGCATCTCTGTAGGTCAGCCTATCACACAGCTTTTGGCAAATTTTCCTGGGAATGCAGGCCTCTTTCTGCTCTCCCTCTGCTGCTGTGGTTGAAGCTCTTTTGTTCTCTGACCTGAGGGAGCTGCTCTGTGTTGCAGGTTTCCATCGCCCCTCGAACAAATGCAGCTCTCGGGTTCGCTCAGATCCTCCCCAGAGAGCAGTACCTCTTCACCAAGGAGCAGCTGCTGGAGAGGATGTGCATGGCGCTGGGGGGGAGAGTGGCCGAGGCCATCACCTTCAACAAGGTCACTACAGGTGAGGAGCCAGCCCCTGGCACAGGGAGATGGTGCTGAGAGAGCCCGAACCTCTGCGCCTGCTCTGTCCCAGGGTGAGCTGAGCAACGGACAGAGGCTTCCCAGGCTGGGAAGGAGAAACGTCCAATTGCATGTTTTGATCTTGGGCTGGCGTTTGTGAGTGTGGAGATCTGATGTTGTTGGTCATCACTGTGTTGTCTTAAACTCGCCCCAAAGCCTGAGGCCACAGGTGCAATTGCCCAGTGAGACTCTAGGCTCATGGCAGGGCCTAGAGCTTTCTGTGCCATGTTTCCAACTCGTTTCATCCAAACGAGATGGCAGTGGCAGGTAAGCACTCCCCCTGAGCTGGGTACCAGTAGATTCGCTCCCTGTGGTCCATGGGTCCTGCAGGATGTGCAGAAAGGGCTGTCAGCAGGTGGAGTGTTCACCTCTGCGGGGTCCTGTGGGTCCTCTGGTCTCTCAGCTGGTGGAATGTGTGTTTGTGCAGGATGTGCTCCTCCTGCACTCAGCTCGGAGCTGGAAAGCATTGCATCTTTCTTTCCTGCCCAGGAGCACAGGATGACCTGAAGAAGGTCACCAAGATAGCCTACTCCATGGTGAAGCAGTATGGGATGGTGCCCAGCATCGGGCAGCTCTCCTTCCCGGACCTGGAGAGTGCAGCTGGAATCGGCCGGCGCCCTTTCAGCCAGGGACTCCAGCAAATGATGGACCATGTAAGGCCACCGTCGGTTACACGGTCCCGTTTGGTCTTTACTTTCTGCAGTTCAGTGAAAAAATGCGAGTAGCTTGCACCCGAACAATTTTCATTTTTCTGTTAGCCTTTAAGGAGGAAATTTCCCCAACTGAGTGTTACCTGTTTGATTGCAGTGTGTTAGGACTATGCAGCGAGGCATCGAGAACAGACAAAATCCCGTATAGCTCTGAGTGCAGCCCCATAGCACGGTGCTGCCTGAGCCTGCAGCGAGGGGCTGTGACATGCTGCAGTGCGTAAAACCCACTGTGAAAGCTGCAGCCCCTGTTCAGTGTGGACAAGACCCTGGTGAGATTTTGAAAGAGCAGAGGTGCAAATGGGGCCTCTGGAGAGAAATACTTTGCAGGGGAAGAAGGAATAATATGGGGCGACTGGGGGGTCGATGTGAAACAGTGGACAAATATCCAGCTAAGGGAAAGATTCTGTTCCATGGAGTCTCTCCAGGCCCTCAGGAGTCCCATGTACATCTGAGCATGGCTATGCAATGTTTACATTACAAGAAACCTGTGTCTTACAGTCTCAGCTGCACAATTTAAACATTTCTACTTCCCAGATCAGAGAGGCTATCTGACCAAAACGATGATTCAGACTGACTGGAAAATGTTAGCCTGGTTTGACAGGAGATTGGGCTTCATTACAGGGGAAAAAAAAAAAAAAAAAGTGCCTTAGTTGAAAAGTCAAATAGCTGGAAACAAAAAAACTGTTTCAGCAGCACTGTGGTTGTGCTTCCCTGGGATTTGTGCTGAGCTGCATCTCTTGCTACTGGACAGCTTCCTTCACTGGGCTGCCTCTCCCATCAGCTGGGCTCCGCTGAAGAGCTGGGCTCCTGCAGGCACTTACTGTTCCTTATCATGAGAACTCCTCTGGCTTTTCTTCAGACGGTTTATCTGTATTTTCTTTTGATGGGAACCACTTTCTGCCTGGCTCTGTTTGCAGATTCCATCCCTCGGTGCTCTCCTTGTTTATCCACACGTTGTGTTCGTTGCCCCTGATGCTCCAAATCTCTTCTTGTTGCTGTCTTCTAGGAAGCAAAAGTCCTGGTGGCTCAGGCTTACAGGCGCACAGAAAAACTCCTACTGGAGAACAGGGACAAGCTGCAGACAGTAAGTTGGAGCTGTGTGGGGTTTTGCTTTTTGGTTTTATTTGTGTGGTTTTTTTTTTAACTGGTATTTTTTGCCTTGCCACTTTCTGTGCTCTGTAGCGCGGCTGTTGCAGTGTCCCTGTTGTCCTAGAAGGTCTTGTACTGGAGCTCGTGTTGTGAACAAGTGGCTGTTCACTGCGTATCCCCAGATTAGGAGCAGGCACAGGGAGGAATGTGTACTTTTCCAGCAGCAAGTAGTCTGCCTCCTGACCCCAGCTGGTGTTTGCAGGGTAGAGGAGTAGGAGTGCTCCTTGGAAGCGATCAAAGCTGGAATTTGTCTCCCTCACCTGCACCTCCCTGCTAGCCTCTTGGCAGTGTGTGTTCCTGGAAAGCAGACAGTGACTGTTCTTGTGAAGCCTGCAAAGACAAGCTCGTCCTTCCAGGTCCTGTAGACGTACAGGACTCAAGTGAACAGTTTCTGGCTGTGGTGAAGGCATGTGGGACCTCTCGCTTTGGCTGGCTGGTGCTGGCTCATGCTCTCTGGTGGCTCAGGGCAGTTTTTACCTGCCAGCTCGCTGATGGGTGATACACGATGGAGTTGTTGCAGGGTAGAGCTTTGCCTCCTCCCCTTTGTGTCCTGCCAGTCCACTAGCCAGTCACCCTGGTGTGTCCCCACCTCCCTGCCAGGAGCTCTGTACCCATCGCTCTGGGCTGAGTCCCGCTTGGGTTGCAGCACCCTGTGTGTCTACGTGATGTTTCCTTCAGAAATCTGCTCCCTAACACTTGAAATGACCGGGAGTCAACGTAGTGTTGTGTGTTTTGTAAATAAAACAACCCTTCCCCTTAAATCTTCTTTTTAAACAAACAACAACAACAGCAAAAACCCCTTCAGCTACGCAACCACAGGCCTCCTGTGCATGGTGAGGTAACCAGAGCCTGCTTGCTCGGCTGCCCTGCTGCTGGCTGTGTCACAGCCCTGTCCCCAGGACTATGCCCCGGGAGCGCTCTGAAGGCAGGCGTTGTTAGGGGGTCTTCTCTCTGCAGGCCTCTTCTGATGTTTTAATTTAACAGCAGTCAGATGTTTGCTAGAGGCTTATCACAGAAAAATAAAAACTTTTAAGTCAAGCCAAAGTATCTACAGAGTAAATGCTTTGGTTGCCAGGCCAGTGTGTCACATCGTGTCAGCAGGATCGAGCCGTTCCCTGTCTGACAGCCACCCACTGCTCGGTGTGTCCTTCTGCGGGCAGAGGGGCCAGAGAATTCAACTTCTCTGGAGAGGAACTTCTGCTGACCTCCAGCCCATGCCTGCGGGGACAGCTCTTTGTTAGCCCGGTGTGTGCCGGGAGGAGCGGGGCTCTGGCTCTGCTCGTTTGCTGCTGCTCTGATGTCATAGGCAGGGCCACAGGTGCGGTGACAGAGGCAGCAGGGCACTTCCCTGGTTGTTCCTCGAGTTCTGACTCGCTGAATCATTCCTAGAGTTTGCTTTATTGCCTCGAGCCATACTCTGCATTCCTGGCCAAAAACACTCATGTGAAGGGTGCTGGGAGCCTGGAGAGCTTTGTTCTGGCTCCAGCAGGCTTTGGGGTCCCCTGGCTGTCCACTGACAGTCCCCTGACCAGGAGCCTGGAGTGGTTTGTTCTGGCTCCAGCAGGCTTTGGGGTCCCCTGACTGTCCCCTGACCAGGAGCCTGGAGAGGTTTGTTCTGGCTCCAGCAGGCTTTGGGGTCCCCTGACTGTCCCCTGACCAGGAGCCTGGAGAGGTTTGTTCTGGCTCCAGCAGGCTTTGGGGTCCCCTGACTTGGGGGTTTGCTCCTCGTGGGCTGCGGCACGTGCTCTGCACGGATGTTGAGATGTGAGTTCAGCTGGCGGGGGAGTTCAGATCAGTTCAGAGGCTGTTCTCACCCCCCTGCGCCTCATTATGCTTTGTTTGCTCTTTCTAGCTGTCCAGTGCCCTCCTGGAGAAAGAAGTGGTAAATTACGATGACATTGAAGCTTTGATTGGGCCTCCGCCCTATGGGCCAAAGAAAATGATAGCTCCTCAGAGCTGGCTTCAAGCAGAGAGAGACAAGCAGGACACCAGAGATGAAGAAATGCCCCAGCAGCCACCAAACCACGAGGAGGAGGAAGAACCTCGCCTGAGACCAGTGTGAAGCTCGTTCCTGATGTGGAAGGAGGACTCTAGAGGCTTCTTTTGAACTCAGACCCTTTCCCTGTTCAGCTCCGAAATCAAAGATGGTGATCAGGGAATCTCTGTGCTGCTGTTACCCAAAAATTAAGGGATGGCTCTGCTGGCGCTCCTAACGAGCTTTTCCCTGCAGGAAGGAGAACTCCTTAGGATTTTGAAATTGATTCTCAGCAGGGTAGTAGTGATTAGGAGTTGGGTAAGTGTAATCTGCTGGAAAGATTTCTTGTCCACAGGAATAGATGTTCTAAAGGGCAAAAGCTGGTGCGGAGTCCCCGTAAGCCACCTCTCACTGTGTTGTGTGACGTGGCAGGAGCGGGGGGCCGTTCCCTGCGCTGCCAGGACGGGCGGTGTAGTGAAACCCCGGCAAGACGGAGCTGGCTACGGTGCCGCAGTTCTTGTGCGACTCCACTGTGAGCTTTGGTTGTCTGTGCTGCTGAACATAAAATAGAAACTGAAAAACAGGTTTCACTGGAATAAACTCTGCCTCACATGTTGCAGTGTTTGTAGAATATGTCAATATGCAGATACGTGTTTCGGCACGTACAGTTTACTGTAGCTATGGAGTTGTACAGCACAAGAGCTGGATTTTCCCAGGCTGATGATTTCTATTCAGCTTCTATAGCAAGTGTCTCACCAGCAGAGATTTAAGGAAAACCTGTGTGCAGAACCCAGGGTGACCCCGCAGCGTGATGCTGGAAACTGGCATTGCAGAGAGAGTGGTTCCGAGATACACGCTTGGGAGACCGCTCAGCGGTGCTGCTGGCTCGGGGCTGGAAAAGTGCCCCAAGGAACGTGAGCAAAAGCAGGTGTGTGTGGGGGGAACCCTCAGTAAAAAGCTGGCAGGTCCTCTGGCTCCATCCTCACGGGTCTTGCAGTATGAGCTGTGATGACAGGGTTGTCTGCTGTTCATCAGGGAAGGCACCAAAGTGCTCGTTGGTGCCTGGTGTGCTGTGGCTGGGCTCGTCCTTCAGGAAGGGTTATTGTCCTGCGTTGTTCAGAGAGGATTGGCTGTGACCTGAGAGGTGATTTCCCTTGCTTTCAGGGCCAGAAGTGGTTTTTTACCGTTGGGATGCTACTGTCTGTATTTTTTTTTTCCTCCTTCCAAAACTTTGTTTCTTTACAAGTTGATTCTTTGAATTCTCTACGGCAGCATCAGGTTCAATTTCAGCTGTTCTTTGATCTTGCATTTTTTAAAAGTCGTGGCTCTGTTCTGGACTGATTTGAAAATAAACCCTTTGCCTGGAGGACTGGGTTCTGTGCCACGCTGGGTGACAGCTGCTGCTGGGACACCGCCGGGTCCTCGGTGACGTTCAGGGTGCAGCCGGAGTGGCCGTGCCCTCTAGTGGCACGCCGTCCCTGCCAGGCACCACGGCCGGATCCAGGCTCTGCCGAGGTGGGTGGTGGTCCCAGACCCCTCTCCAGCCATGC